CACAGTTTATCCCTCAATTTTACAGTCTACTAGAGATTTCTATTTAAAAAGATTATATTCCCAAGCGAAATCCAATTCCACAGGGAGGGCTGGAAATAGTATGCTTGAGTTTATAGTCTGAAAATTCCTATAATCTATTTTTATGCTCCCTGAGAATCAAATGATTTCATTCCCCAATCTAGAATCTGAATGACCAGCACATACACTTTCTAAACATACATGCTTAAAATTAGAGCTAGCTGTCTGAAATCTAGTGACGGTGTATTTCAATGTAGATATTGCCCTCTTCCACCAAAGGAAACACTATTCTAGCAAAAATGATGTTGAAAATCATTTTTATACTCACATAACTGTTTCATTTAACTTTTTAAAAATCTTAGCCTATATGCTGTGCCAGAAGCCATCACAACCTGCTGATCTGATGAAAACGTAATGCCGATCTGAGCAAGTAGTTTATCTCCCATCCACTATGGGCAGTGCTGGCAAACGATATGCCTAAATCGTTCTTCTTTTAGTTATTTTTGTTTCATCTTAACCTAAAAATATTTTGAGGTGGCATACCAACCAATAAAAATCTACTTTCAAAATTGAGATTCAGGGAAACAGACACAGAATAGTGAAAAGAGTCCAGAGGCAAACACACAAATTCAGAAAAGAGATCATGGGCTGCTCTCTGCTTTTTATTCTTCATGTTGAGCACCTCCTAGTGGTCAATCTGAGAGAAAGTGGAATTCTCTATTTGCCTAGAAAAGAAATGGTAATGAGAATTTGAAAGAAAATTTTCTATCATTTTACAACTTCCATTACATATGCATATAGCCAAAATCAAAACTACATCCTAGACATTTTTGGAGACCTGTTTTTCAGTGGTCATTTCTCAGTTTTTCTTATTCCAAAATATCTGATAAAACTGTTGCTACTTTCTGCAAAGCGCTTTCAGAATATTTCTACCTGCCGCCTTCAAATCAAAATAGAATCACAAGTTTCGCTCAATATTTAGCAGAGCCCCAGTGTGGACTCTGGCTGCACAGTAAATGCTACTTTGACCTTTCCACTATGAGTGGGAAGCTAGAGAGAATGTGAAAGAGTGATTCTTTTTTTTTCTTTTTTCTTTAAGAATCATGAACCTGTGAAGACAAAGCCACTGGGTTGATTAACTCCAAAGCCCACCGTCTCCATTTTCCACTGTCTGAAGATTACGAATAGAACCCAAACTGCCCCTGAATTTACCCTGGTGAAAAAAACAGATGGTTTCTAAACTCCCAAGAGACATCTGTGGGTGCTGGCCAGAAATTCTGTTACAGCCAGATTTCTGCCATCTTTAAACCAAGAGGCTTCTAACATTCTTATTTATAGCATATGGGTTAGGCTGATTTTAACCTGCAAATACATCATAATGTTTAACTGAAGTCAGGAGGATTTTTAGAAAGAAAACACATATATAGCAAGTAATACGTACTGGGGCTCATTAGGTTAAGCATCCGACTTACTGATTTTGGCTCTGGTCATGATCTCAGGGTAGTGAGATCGAGCTGACAGCGTGGAGCCTGCTTGGGATTCTCTCTCTCTCTCTCTCTCTCTCTCTCTCTGTCCCTCCACCCCCAATTAAAAAAAAAGAATTGGCAGAATTTTCCTATTTAGTTCAAGACCAAAGAAAGGAAAAAAAAGAAAACCTATAATTTACAACACATTCAGGTTTGTCGTACAATAGCCACATTTCAAATTTATGCAATTTTAAAGAGGTATTATATTAAACCATTAAAAATTCAACAGTGAGTGTAGAGAAAAGGTTTATAAGCAAACATAAGGTACCATTAGCACACTGAAGCATTTTTAATAATCTTTCATTTGACTGTGTAATAACTATATCTTGCTCTTAGCACCTTGTTTTCAATCCGAAAGCTTTTCTGTTTTATATCGTTGCTTGAGTGTTTGCTTGCTTGCTTTGTTTTGTTTGAAGAAGTGAGGGTAAGTGGAAAAACGTGTTCAAATGGGAAGTTACTGGACAACTTATTAACATCACCTACTGTGCCCGGGGTTACAATGGAAACCATTTCTAGAAGGGACTTGACCTCACTCCCTTCTACTTTCCTCTCAAGTTTCACGATCCTGTTTTGGAAACAGATTCTTTTGATCAAACTCAGATCCTGCTCATCCAGGTTTTCAATTTCTCTCTTGTCTGTAGTGCCCACCAGTAATCCTTCCCTAGGGTCTGCCTGATTATGGTACTTCAGGTATCAAGTCAAGGGCAGGACCAATTGAGCCATTAGCAATAGCAACTTGAAGCCCATAGCAAAGAGTAACAGGAAGCTGTCCAGTGGTCAGAGAAGCCTAAGGACAAAGGAAGTGTCGACACAGGGTGATGATACAGTTGACCGACAAAGCAATGACACTATATATTTCTCTCCCTATTAACAAAAGAATCATTTTTAAAGCCTCTGGTAAGTTCTTGAACTTCAAAGGTAAATAACTAGGTTGATGAGAAAAGTGGTGTCTAACCCACTGATTTGTTACCAGGTATCATCCTAAATGCACATTCCACTAAATTTCTGTGTGCAACCAATTAATGTGTCTGTTTTTAGGGCAGTATCCAAAAAGGAAAATACCAATATAACCCTGTTTTCTTTTCAATGGTAACAAACATTTCAATCAGGGAAAACAGGTATTATTCTGGCAGTTTTTATATGCTTCTTGGCCAAAATTGTAATAGTAATTTATAGAACTTCAGCAAAAGATATTAGGGGTGAAGAAAAGGCCATCTTGAAATAATGTACTTTGTTGTACTTCCAATTAGAAATAATTCAGATTTGGGTTAAGATTTCTTTTTAAGTTCTTTGTATAAAAATATCTTTAGGTGGTCATTTGAAATTAATATTTCCCATTTTACTATGAGTTTCTTTAAAAAGGCTACTATAAATTAAACTAGATAGTATATAGTTAACCACCTACCACAAACCTGACGGGAGGTATTTGTTTTCTTTTTTGAAACTATTCCAAAAGAAATCATTCAACTTGCATTTGTGTGCTAATTATTTAGTCTTCTAAAATTTTTCTGTGGCTTTCTAAACAGTCAAAATCTTAAATGTGTGTGAGTATAAATATAGATTTTCACTCAAAATGTGTGTGAGTATAAATGTAGATTTCCACTCCCTGTTACCTTAAAATAGAGAATATTTTCTTTGCTAAATTACATACATATGTATCCTACTTGTTTATATATATATATGTATGTGTATGTGTATGTACATATATACACACACATATACATATATATATATACTTGTATGTATGTATATATATGTATGTATATATACTTGTATGTATGTATACATGTATATACATGTATGTATATATATACATACATGTGGAGATACATATATATATATACATACATGTATATATATGTATATATATATGTATCTCCACCTCGTGTGGCTTTAAAAAGAAATTGACATTATTTGGACAAATAACATGCTATGAAAACTTAGGTAATGCATTCTTTTTTTTACTTAACAGCTTTACATTTTTAATGTTTAATAGAAAAATGTCAATTTCTCCTAAAGAAAAATCAGCTTCCTACAATTATAAGACTTTAGCTTTATCTATCTGAAGATTCTTTTACACTCTCCTTATTACCAAAACATTAAACACACTTAGTCATGTAAATATTCAACATACTCTTGCATCTTTATGCTTTAAATATTTGTAAACATATATATATGTATATATGTGTATATATATATAAATTCATAACCAAATTGCGTTCTAGATTTACCATAATTGACTATTTGCCAGAATAAACTATAAAATGAGAATAAAAGCTTTCAGTGTTAAAAAGAATTCTTTATTAAATTTTGTTTTCATATTCTAAAGGATAGATTATCATTAGGTTTTACCAGAGACTTTTTGTTTTGCCTTTTTGTTAATGTTAAAATTTTACTGGTGAAGAAAGGTAACAGAGGAGGAGGTTCATTTTCTATTTCATTTTATTTAAAATGCCATGTCACAAAAAATTTACGTAGAACCCAGATTTCCTACAAGGAGCTTCAGAGCTGAGTCATGACCAGGGACTATATATGATGCAGCCCGCTGCAAAGTCTTTACACTAAGTGCAACGACTCCAAGCAAATTAGAGGGAATCGGAGGGTGCAGCTATCTCCAAAATTAGAGACAGACTGACTTGGGGAAGACCTTCCACTGAATCTGCAAAGGAATTTCCAAGATACACTAAAATCTCACCTTCAGATATCCAGTATCCATCACTGGTAAACTGAAAATCGTATTTTTATTTTAATGGGGGTTTTGTTTTGCCTAGTAATTTTATGAAAGCTTTAGTATAATATATTCCTTAGTTTGGGGTTTCAACCAACTTCTGATGCTTAGAAAAATAATTCGTGTTCTAAAGCAGAATTGCACGACAGCTTAGGTCTTACTATTTAGTTATAGCCTAATGAATACTGTGTTCCTACCTGTTCTCGCAAAAACTAAAGATCCTAGCTTATTTAAATAGTATTCAGGTAAAGCACTATGCCATCCGACCAGCTCACTAAATGTATTTATTACCTGTCTCTACATAGCTTATGTAAAAGCTCGATGTTGACTGTCCATGTCTGCCGCATTTAAAAGCTGCGAGAGTGATTATCTCATCTAATTATGTCAACACACTGTGTTACAGTGTCCTGTACATAGGCCACAGAACAAAAGTGACTATAAACTGCTTACTCAACACCTAGCCCAAAAAAGGGCTGAGGCAGTACAGTAATGCCTTTAGTTAAAATGGCCCACTGAATCATTTCCATCTGTGCATTTTTTACCATAAATACTGAAGTAGTATTTTTTAACTGTCTTTTCAGGCTTGTAAAACAAATCTCTATATCACATCTACATAGTCTAAATATGTCGAATAATTCAGTTTAAAAAGCGTTGCCTACTAACTAAAGAAAAATAGCTACCAATTTTCCTATTTAGTTGCTTAAATCATTTTCCATTGCCATTGTAGAACTGCCTTAAATGGTTTCTTTCACCACTATTATGTGCAAAACAAAAGGAGGATATTGTAGTGCATTCTCACCTGTCTTACATTAGCTGTTTTCACTAGTCCAAGGGTAGACATTCCTCAGGAGTGACCCATGTAGTGCTGTCCAGTAGTCAAGAGGATAACGTTATTTTCACTTCGGTCTCCAAAAACTAAAGTTGGAAATCTACAAAATTAACATCTATAGACTTTCAAAGGCCACATCTTGGGAGGTGGGAGTGAAGAGGAAGGAAGAAGAAGAGAAGGGAGAGGGAGAAGAGAGAAAAAAAGAAAAGCTAATAGAAAAACGCAAACCTGCAGCTGAGTTAAATGGGGGGAAACTAAAGTTCACAGTGTATATTTTTTGAAAAGTTGATTGACTTTTGGGAAGGCTGTATGTATTTGTACATGTGTGCATGTGAATATGAGTGTGTTTAGGATCAGGAGGGAGAGCCTGTATCATCCATTGCTTTTTTGGTTAAATAGAGTCATATATTAGTAAAAAAACAACTATGTCTAACTCCCAAATTCATTCATTCAATGTTTAATGTTAGAATTAATAATCTTATTGTTAAACTCAGGACAACTCTGTGAAGATTTACAAAGTAAGTGTATGAAACCTTATGGCAAAACTACAAAGCTATCAGTAATTAATGCACATAAAAAGCCTTGCTGGGAAAAATCATGGGTGATTTCCCTACAAAACAGGTTGACATGCAACCTATTCTTCTTTGTTTCTCAAGTTGTAGAGATTTTAATAGTTTCTATTAAGTCCTTAACATCTCCCAAATTAAAAAGACTGAAAATTATTTTTAAAGCCTAAGGAATATAGAGTAACAGACATTACAAGTTAAATGAATAGTTCCTACAATTGCTGTATACGTTAAGTAATACAATTTCATATTTCCATGTTATTACACATGGTATTAGATTTATAGGTACAGTCGCATGAAGCATCATTCACTTTTATCAACTTCAATGTTTTAGAGGGTTTTCATACTACTCTATGAATGCTCTGAATGCTGCAGAGAAAAAGAAGCACAATCAGTATTTTATGTTCTGAGATTTCTCAGTTGGGTTATCCTGTCCTGCCCACACACATAATAGCATTAGCATTTCATCTTATACTATGTTGAAATACTTTTAATACAAACTCTCAGTAAAAGCTAAAGCTTACGCATAAGTGGTAAGTCTCGTCTAGTGTCATTCACTGCATCAACATGCTTTATTTCATCATATTTGCACACAAGGTGTTTTGATTTCAGTTTTGTGAAGAGATACGATTTAGCATACGCGTGTTTGTTCAGCTGTCCATCCTGCACCATTAATACAATGCCTTTCTCTCCCATTTAATGGTGTTTGTATCAATGTCCCCATATCTGCTGCATTTTAACTCCATAAAAAGAAAATGTGATTTTGTATTAGTAGTTTTGCTGATCAATTCAGTATTTCTGCACCAATCAGCATACTTATATGCATGTAGTAGTCTGTACAATTGTTCAACATCAAAATACTTGTTTACTTTATGTCAAAATGTCTATAAAATTGCTGGCATTGTTCTCCATTTCAGTCTGGTAGAATAAGCAAGATAGAAAATAAATGTGTAAATGAATCATCTGTGTCATTTCACTTCTCTGCATGAAGTCACTTCACATTAAGCATGACGCACACACCCGCCACCCAACAATCCATGGTTTCTTGACACCTCATTACTGACTGTTGAGGCAGGTAGCTTTTGGATAGAACCGCTCAGCCTGGGGAAAAAAAAAAAGTTGGATCCCTTACTCTCCTTTTCAAATGAACCCTCTCAGCCTACAGATGTATGTCACTTGGTTTATATTTTTTAAAAATTCAGTGCAAAGCATCTTGCTGAAACCCGGGTAAGCTCATCAAAGATTTTGGAGGCAGTCTCCCAACTGCCATTTCTGAAACCAATTCAGGACAACCCTTGTTGGGGTAAATCAAGTCTTAACTCCTGCTCCCAAGGTCAGCTGCATCCGTACGCGACCTGTGCAGTTGCTCAGGGTACAGACACATTGAACGGCCCTCACTTAATTTAATGCCCTGCTTTTGCCATCTTGATATTCTTAGTAACTTTTGAGCCAGGGACCCTGTATTTTCATATTGTATTAGGCCCCACAAGTTAGATACCCAGCCCTGCCTGACCAGTGAAGCAAACTACCGATTGAGTCTGGCTCTCCAAAGCAAAAGGTTAGCGGATAGTGAGAAGAGAGGCTTATTTATTTAACAAACTCTTATATTGCACTTACCATGCACCAAGACCTATACATATATTTGCTTATTTAATCCTGACAATAACATCCACCATTTGACAGAGGAGGAAACTGAGGCACAGAGAAATTAAGTAGCTTGCGCAAGGTCACAGCTAGTAAACCCAAAAGTTTGAGTCAGGCATCTGGCTAGTTTGGACACCTGACTGTCTAGGCCAGTGCTGGTTCCTTGCTTTGCTATGCTGCCTTCCCATCAGAGAAAATTTCCTTACTTTGTTAGAGCACTAGGGATTCAACAAAGACTTTTGTTGAATAGTCTAAAAGCTTCAAGGATGATACCTTCCAAGAAATTCCAACTCTCCACAGCAACATTTTCCTGCTCTTAATGCCAAGGGGACTTGCCTGAGTTAAATTAATGAGATGATTATAAATATTGAGTAAAGTATTGCCAGTATATTTGTGGCCCAACACAGATGTGACTACAGAGTGCCCAGACTCTCGATGCCCAACTCCTGTACTGGTGACAGAGGGGAAAGGAGTGACGAGAAGAATGGGCTGACCTTGGTCTTGATGACGCTTTTCTCCATTCATTCCCTCTGCCTCCCTAGCTCAGGTGCCACCACACACCTTCCTGAAAGCAAGAGGGCCCCATCTGGCTGTCATTTCACTCAAAAGAGGAGGAAGCACACATAAAGGATGCAATCTGTATGGACATAAGAGGTGATGTAGAGAAACTCAGTGCAGGATCCTAAACATGAGACAAGGAGAAATGTGCTCACTGCTCATCAGTCTACAAGAGCCCTTCTGGCTCTGGGCTAATGCTCAAGATCCAAAACCATTGAGGAGGACAGAGGGATCCTCAAAAGTCTGCTGTATTCACACTCTCCAGGCTTAACGGTACCACCCAGGAGCAGCTGGGTCAGTCAAAACGTCCATAGGATTCTCTGGTCATCCCAGAGGGTCAGCAGCCCCTAGGGCAATGGCAATCTAGCCACAAGAGGAAATGTAAATCTTTTCCCACATAAGCTTCTCCATTCTATCCCCCACAGTCCGTTTCCAGAATCCTCCTTTTCAGAAACTTCAAGAGACACAGACTAAGAGAGAAAACAATGGGGAGCTGTCAGGGAAAGAGTCACATTCCCAGAATTCCATCTAACCTAAGACAAATGGAATAAAAGCAGCACTCGGCTCCTCCCCCTGTTGACGGAGGTGAATACAAAATTCTTGCTCCTTTCATACGGTCTCTTCTTTCTGCTCCAGTCTACCCCATTCACCATCCACCCTCAGCCCTAGAAACACAAATCCTACAATGCATAGATTGGGCCACAAAAAGATGGAGGTGGAAGGGGAATAATATCATAGAATCTACGCTAAGAGAACTAAAAAGGATTTCCTTGCTCCCTTTTCACCTTTTCTCATCTCCGACCTCCTCGTGTAAGCAGACGGGTTTAACTGGTTTAACTCAGGCAGCTTTGGAAGAACAGAGAGAGTCCTGGATCCCAAATAGTCCCTACCCCAGCCCCACGGTTTGCATTCCTCAACCCTGATGACTCTTCTGGTTGTCTTCTGAGAGCGAAAGATGATAAAGCCCCTTAGCAAGAACTTTAGAGGCCGATTTGCAAACTGGTCAGCAACTCTGATCAGGGCAAAATTTTGCGTGGGAAGCCTCTGATTCCATTAGCCGAAACACTGTGACACCTCACAAGGCTGTCAACTTTATCATTCCTTACATGCACACAAAACCAGTGTGATGCCGGGAAGCATCACCACAGAGCATGAAATATCAGAACTCAACACAATGCTCAAGGTTGTAATGAGACACAGAGTCTAATTCTGGACTCTACAACTCACAAATAGCCTGGATGAACTTAAAGCACCTTCAGAAGAGAGTCACAATGACCCCTGTGTCCAAATAAAAGAGAATGCAAAAGATGAAAAAGAGAAGGTTGGCCTGAGAAACAGCAATATGTTCAAGGTCAAATTTTTTAAAGTTATAAATCGTATTGAAAGACAGGAATAATACTCATTTATAACGTAAATATTTTGTCGAGTGGTTTTCATAATAGTCAACACTTAACTATTCAATTCATATTGTGTCTTTTTATGCTCAGCACTGTGCTAAGTCCTAAAGACCCAAAACTAATAAGTTGGGGTCCCGGCCTGCCAAGAGCCTGCGGTCATCATCATGGGGATGACAAACAGCTGGCACCAGTGTCACCATTCCTTCTATGCCCTCTGCCATCCCCTGTGTCAACCATTAATCATGCATTCCTTCCCCTGAGCCAGGAGGCAGCCTTGGGATACGACACCACCAGGCAGTCAGAGCAGCTAATCCCCAAATCACCTGACGTTCCTTTATCACCAAAGACCCTGAGGATAATCATGATAATTATTATTATGGCATTAAGAGAACCCATTATGTTCCAGACCCCATTCTAACCATTTTATACCCACCACCTTCTTCAATCTCATTTCTCTGAAATGGTTGGTTCACAGAAATTTTATGTGGTCGTCATTGAAGACTCATTTAAAGAAAATGGGATAAACTCCAGTATGAGGAAATTAGATGTCCTTCAGACAAATTTTCCACAAGTGATGGATGTTTCACATTAGCAATAACGAGAAAGCTGGTGAGTCCTCTTTCCAGGATGTCTTCAGAATTAGGATAGATTCTCACCCAGCTGTAATGAGAAGTGCAAACCTGTCTGAATGAAGAAGGACAAACCAGATGACCTTTCAGTGTTCTTTTCATTTCCGAGATTCTACAATTTGTGGTGCTCCAGAATCAAATTTATTTTTTACTAAAGTCTGTGGTAAATTGTATTCGCTAAATTGTCTCCACATCCACTTAGCACAGATGACAAATTAGCGAAGGGGGGAGGCAAGCAATTTGCAAAAACATATTTTTAAACCTCTATTAATCACATATCTACATCTTATGCTGAAGCACACATCCTGTTTAAAGAATTATTCTCAAAAATATCTCAAAGGACACACAAGACATGATGCAAAGGTAAAGTCCTAGGAACCCAAGCAAATGAATCACTATAACTAGTATGAATAAATTAATTTGTGCTAAAATGTCTTCTTTTAGGATGGATGTAATTTCATAAACATTTATTCCTTGTAGAAACAGATTCTGAACTACACTCACAAATAGCCTGGATGAACTTAAAGCACCTTCAGAGGAGAGTCACAATGAACAGAGACTTAAAAAACAGTGACTTAAAAAACAAAAGCAGTAACATTAGATAACATTTTTCTATTTTAAGAATCCAAACTTTTCACTAACTCTAATACAGGAAAACATAATTTGTTGCATCTGACTTTAGCAAGAAATTGTTTTGTGATGCTTCAGAGTAGAAGTCACTTCCCAAAGAAGTTAGAGCTTTAAATAAGAAAATCCCATTCCATTTCTCCCCTTTAAATAAGGCCATCCCAACACTACGTGCTATTACATAGAACCATCTGACTTTATCCATTCTTAAACCCTTGTCTATAGTGTGAAGTCCTATCTATTAGGCTCTTGGTTCCCGACCCCACCCTCCCCGCAGAGTAAAGTTGACCTAGATCTTCCCAAATAAATTTAAATTCCAGTTTCCACTGAATAACTTAGGGAAAGAACAAATCGCATGCCAGCTGAAATGGAGAGAAGAAAAGGGACACAGGAGAAAGGAGAAGCTGGAGGAGCAATTTATAAACTTCAAGATCATTGTCAAGTCAAGAAATAACGGCACAAGAAAACATGCGAAGGCTTCTTTCTCTTCATGGAGAGAATTGTTTTTATGCCTTCCTTTTTTAGTTCCACACCGCATTTTGGAAAAATCAGAGGGAAAGAGAGAGTCTAGCGTATCATGAGTCCTGAGTACTGCAGCCCTTTAGAGACTTAACTCAGCCCGCAGCCAAATGCCAGCCTCGTCAAATGAATGCTTCCACTTTAAGGGCACAGACCTTTCTGTGGCCTCATGTGTGGTGGTCACAGCACAGGGTGCAGTGTCAAAAAGGGCTGCAGGACCCGGAGATTCAAGAAGGGCACATCCCTCACACGAGGAGCTGAGCCACTGTTGAAGACAGAATCGTTCGTCACTAGTCAACTCCGGACATCTAACCATGATGTTCTTTCTCTATCACATCTCCCTGATCTACCTTCTTCATACCTTGTCTTACTCTGAAATGTTCTCATCCATTTATTTATTTATTTGTTATTTATTATTCCCACTCCCACCACCCCTCCCCAACGAGGGTGAACATTTCCTGTAGGCAGAAGCGAGTGTACCTGCTCGTCTTGATAGTGCACCTGGAAAGTGCTCCGGAAATATATATTGAATGAAACAGTGACTATCCAAAGAGAAAAATGAGCGCGGAAAGAAAAGAAAGAAAAGCTGATAGCCCAGAAAGATGAGAGCAGGAATAGACATAAGGAAGTCACAGTAATTGGCTCAGAAACAAACAGTACTAATGTGGATGGGAGCCAGGACATCCTTTTTTAAGGAGGTACCTGAAAAGGCTGATGTCTTCAATGAGCCCTGCCAAACTGGGTTCCTTGTATTATCATCGATTAAAAAAAAAAAAAAAAGGGAAAAGTAGAATAAATACTAAGACAAAATGCAAGCAGAGCACAGTGGTGCTACAGGGGATATAGAAATTAGATGTGGAGATCTCAGAGGGCTTCTTTAGCAAGATACGTGCTAAAGAGTTTTTGAGAAGCCAAGAAAGGAAAAGAAAGTGCCCAGTTTGAGGGACACCATGAATAAGGAGATGGAAGTCCCCAGTCTGTTCCACATACAACAAAAACCTCCCAGAGTGAACTGGGGCTATAGGTATAGGACCTTGAAAGTCATGCTAAGGAATGTCACCTTTACTTAACAGGGAGTGAAGATTCCTTCAAGAGGAGAATAACATGATCTGTTGTGAAGCAAATAAGGCATTCAAGCAAAGGGCAGGTGGGGGGCGGTGGACCTGAGAGGGGAAAGCTGTTATAAGCAGTTGTTATTAGGTAAAGAATATGCTACTGTTCTTTTGTGCCTAATCTTACATAATTATTGTAATAAGCATATAAGAGGGAAAAGTGCTACTGCTACCCCCACTTTATAGAATGGAAACTGAGGTTTAGAAACTGAATTTTGGCAGCAGGAATATTCTTTTAGTGATTGCGGTGAGAGGGGGATGGGCAAAATGGGTGAAGGGGAGTAGGAAGTACAAGCTCACGGTTATGGAATGAGTAAGTCACGGGGATAAGAGGCACAGCATAGGGACTACAGTCAATGGCACTGGAATAACACTGTATGGGGACAGATGGTAGCTGCACTGAGCTCAACATATACAGAAACTGAATCACTATGCTGTACGCCTGAAAGTAATGTAACATTGTGTGCCAAGTATAGCTCAATAAAAATAAACGACTAGAGGCGCCTGGGTAGCTCAGTTGGTGAAGTGTCCAATTCTTGATCTCGGCACAGGTCATGATCTCATGGTTCATGAAATCTAGCCCCAAGTCGGGCTCTGCACTGACAGCAGGAAGCCTGCTTGGGATTCTCTCTCTCCCTTTCTCTCTGTTCCTCCCCTGCGTGTGCACACGCATGTCTGCACACTCATTCTTTTTCTCTCAAAATAAATAAACTGTTAAAAAAATGAGTAAATGCGTGAATGAATTAACTAATTAAAATAAAAGATATTATAGCCCCCCCAAAAAAACAATTAGAT